TCTTACGTATCTGTTGAACAATGAGTGAAGTCTGCAACTGATACAGTCAACAACGAGTCTATAAGTATATGTATGGTACCCCTATGTTTAGGGGTACATCCAGAAACCTAGGAAATGTGTGTACTGCATAATAGGATTATGAGTCAGGCTAAGGGGGGGAATGTGTGGGCGGTAACTCATGTATGATTGGCTACTGTAATAATTATTGTAAATCCCTCCCTTGCATGGGAGCATGCTTTAAAAGAAGGTGAAGTAATTAAAAGTTCAGTTCTGCTCCTGATGCTGTGTGTCGTTCAATCATTGAGATCTGTATGGGGATATTCGTGGATTACCTTGCTTGCTGGAATTATTACTTCATTGTATTTTTACTACTTGTTCCTGAGCCTCACTGGGATCTTTAGTGGAGTTAACCTGTGGAATACCAGGCCTCTGCTACAATGAGGTAGAGAGAACCATAGGGATGATAGGCAATAGGGGCCAGGTTCGACGGCACCTATTATAAAGCATTGCAGGAAGAACTGGCGCCACACATAACAGCCATGTTCCAGTAGTGGATGGGGGGGACAGCCCAATGCAGAGCTAATGTGATTCTCATTCCAAAGCCGGGGCAAGACGAAATGAACGTGGCCAACTACCACCCCATCTCCCTAATAAATGCCGACTCTAAAATCTACGCCAAAATTCTGGCCACCAGGCTGGGACACACACGGACCAGGTGGGCTTTGTACCAACTAGACAATTGTACGAGAACACCAGAAGAGCAGTGGACCTGATCTGGTGGGCCAGAAATACCTGTACGCCTTATCTCGTCCTATCACTAGATGCAGAGAAGGCCTTCGACAGGATCCAATGGCAATATCTTTTTGCTCTACTACATCACATAGGCTTACCCGATAACTACATCATGGCTGTTATACAAAAACCAGCAAGCCCAAATAGCCATACCAGGGGCCACCCCAAAGCCATTCAAACTTAGCAACGGTACAAGATAGGACTGCCCGCTTTCACCACTTTTCATACTGGCCCTGGAACCCCTACTGCACCTGGTCAGGGAACATCCAAAAATAGCAGGACTGACAATAGCAGCAGAACAGTATAAAGTGTCTGCACACGCAGACGATATTCTGTTAACACTCACGGATCTGGACCAATCCCTCCTGAACCTGATCCAACTGCTGGGGGAATTCTTCCAGGTATCAGGCTATAAAATAAATCTGGGAAAGTCAGAGGCTATGCCGCTGGGGTTGACGGTAGGGGGCACGGCACTGATAGGAAAAACAGCCCACATAAAACTAACCCAACAACATATAAAATACTTGGGAAGCAGACTAATAGCTGACACAACGCGACTATTCATGGAAAACTACACGCCAATGATAAAACCATTAATAAAGGACTTAGAAAAATGGCACGACAAACCGATCTCCTGGATTGGACAACTTCACGCTATTAAAATTAATGTATTGCCGAGGATAGTATTCCTTTTCCAGGCACTACCAATAAAAGTAACAAAAGGAGACCTCCAACTCCTACAGACCACAATAGACCACTTCATATGGGCATATAAACATCATAGGATAGCCCAACACACACTCTACAGACCAAAAGGGTTGGGGGGACTAGGACTACCCAACCTACACCTCTATCTCTCGGCCCAACTAGCCCAGATCATAGAATGGCACTCACCCCCAGATGCACGCAGATGGGTTGACCTGGAATCCTTAATAATGGGAACAGACCTGCCACAGTACTGGATTTGGGTACCAAAAGCAGACAGACCTGCCCTGCACACCGACTGCCCAGCAATAATCAACTTGATCAGGATATGGGATGTCAATACACACAAATATGCACTAACTCGAACACCCTCGCCCCTTACCCCTTATTTGAGGAACAGCGCATTTGCACCGGGCATCAGGGTGCGAGACTTCAAAGGACTGGAACACAGAGGGCTGCAGAGGTATTGCCACCTCTATGCCGGGGACACATTCAGGACATTTGAAGACCTGAAACAAAATGTGCCATTACAAACAAGAGACCTCTTCAGATATATCCAATTAAGGGACTTCGCTAAAAACCTCGGTATAAGAGAAGCAGCTAGGGCCCCACTGACGTTCTATGAAAAATTATGCATGACAGAATCCACACGGAAGGGCCTGATCACTGTACTACATGCCCAGCTTAGCACCCCAGACAGAGACGCAGAGCCCCTCACATATATCACCCAATGGGAAACTGAACTACATCAAACACTGGAAGGAGAGGACTGGAGGGACATATGGGAAGCAGCAGCAAAAGTGTCCATATGTGTAACACTTCAGAAACAGGCGTACAAAACCCTCCTGAGGTGGTACACCACCCCAACAAAACTATATAGAATGGGAAAAACCCCAACAGACACATGCTGGAGAGGATGCGGAGAGAGAGGGTCATAAATCCATGTGGTGGACATGGCCCAAGGTAGAGCGCTACTGGACGGACATAGAGAAACTAATGACGGCAGTACTAGAGCGACCAATAAACAAGGACCCATGGACATACCTCCTAGCCAAACCACAAGACGAACTGACGACAAGAGAACAGAAATTAGTAAACAAACTAACCTTAGCAGCCAGATGGGCACTAACCCAACAATGGCTCAGCCCAGATACCCCCCCCCCCCATGCACAAAGTGATACACAAAATAAAAGACAACTAAATAATGGACAAACTAACAGTGCAGGTGCGAAACACCACAGGTGCTTGTCATGGTAGTTTACCCCAACTCGCATGATTTAGTCCAACAATTGACAATATAGAGCAGATACGTCTTACCGGACCTTAGAATGGCTGGACTCAACGTAGAGGAGAGAAATACAGAGTCAGGAATGATCCGAGGTCAAGGGTACAAAGAGACAGCGAAAACAAGAACTAGCCAAGGTCTGGTACACAGTAATGAGTAAGCCGGCAAACAAGACAAAACAGGGATAAAGAGATAAACGGAGTCAGATACAAAGCCAAGGTCTTAGTCAGGTAAGATTTTCTTGGGATTGCTTTAGAGATCTTTGGACTATGTGTTAATATCAACAAATCCATAATGGTATTATATACCAATGGCTGGAGTGGTGGTGAGTGGCTTCTCCTCAGACTGGTTTCAATCAAAGAATGGGACCATGTAGGGATTTCTACGCTCATTGCTACTGTGTTTGATGACAGTTGAACCATTAGCAGTAGCAATTAGGGCTAACAATCACATCAAAGGTTTGCATGTGTTTTATAATGTTTAAAACTCAAAATGCATGCAGATGATGTGGTCCTTACATTTTGTGATTCTCTAAAATCTATGGAGGAACTGATGGTTATTTTGATGAGTTTTTGTTATATTCAGGATATACATTAAATATAAATAAGTCTGTAGCACTTCCATTTAAATTACCTCAAAGAATGATAAAAAAAAAATGGCCCCAGCTGACAGAGGGGAGACCCAGGTTTCCTGGTGTGAGCAGAGATTTAACCCTGCTTACACCAAAATCTAGATACAGACATTTAAATGCCTATTTAAGCAGATACATGCCGCGCTGACTTCCAGCACTGCATGTAGCTCATCAAAAAGGCTGGGGTCACTAAAAATGTCCCCAGCTGATAGAGGGGAGCCCCAGGTTTCCATTGATACCTGGAACTCCCTTGTGTAACCAGGGATTTAACCCTGATCACACCAAATTGTAATAGTAGGGATTTAAATCCCCATTCAAATGCTTGTTTGCAGCACTCACTTTGAGCTCTGCAAACAGAGCATCGGTCACTCTGGGGCCACTAATTCCGGCCCCAGGTGAGAGAGGGGAGCCCCAGGAATCAAATGATACATGGGGATCATAGACCCTGCTGGAAAAATACTGCATGACGGAAATTTTCCATCATGTGTTCTTAAGGGTAGGACCAGCATGACGGAAAATTTCCGTCAATAGTCCTTAAGGGGTTAATACTTAATTATGGTCTTGATGTTTTAATTATGTTATTAAAATGTAATGCTCTAACCGGCATTCCGCTCTCCCCCTGCAGGGATTTTACTAAGATTTAAGTTGAACAATGAATTGGCTTATATGTTTTGCGTTATTGCCTACATACTATGAGTTGCTTCTCTTTGTGTAACAGAATGTAATTATTGAAGAGTGTGATAATTATATGTTTGTGCTTATTTAGTTTGTCATGTTTTGTCATTATAAGAAAAAGAAAGACTAAAGATTTTTTTCTTTAAATTGCTATAAATGGCATTGTGGTCTTTTTTGTATGGGTGTATTAAACCATCACTAACAGCAGCATTTTTAAACTTATACTCCGGCTCACATCATATGCATATACTCATAGAGAGGCATAGAGCATTCATAATAATACTGTATTGTATTATTTGATTGTCAATGTGGGAGAAATATGCTATTTAACATAGCAAAACTCTCTCACTCATCACAAAAAAAATGCTAATTAGAATGTAACGTTTGAATTTGAAGATGGCAGCAAAATCAGAAATACTGTATCAAGGTCAACTAATACAAACCTTAGGAAGTGATGCTCCAAATATTGGAAGCAAACACAATTCATGTAAACAGAAACACATTGTTTCA